GTCTCTCTTTCTATTTTTTGTATTTGTCCTTTTTGTCTTTCAATTTATCAGAGAGATCTTTGTGCAACCATGCTGGGTTTTTTCTTGGATTTCTTGTTTTTCTTTTTCAATGGTATCATGCTGGACTGGGCTTTTATGATCATATTTTTCAGAGTTTCCCATGCTTCTTCAGTTTTCCCTTTAGGATGCATGGAACCTTTCCTAGGGTCTCTCTTGAGTTTGTTAAAATCAGTTACTTTAAATTTAAGACACTGGTTGGATTATATTCTATCACTCAAACTCAGTCGCATCACATGATGTCATGTGATGTATCGTGACTTTTTTGCTTTTGCGAAGCTGGGGTGGGTGTGGCCTGCAGGTGCCAGTTTTACACCCCTGCTTTAGTTCTCCTCCTCTACCTTTCAGATGACAAAATTGTCAGCTAGGTTGGTTTCTGTTTGATCTCTCACTTGCTGCAGAGTTTGTCTCCCAACTGATATCACGGTAGTTAAAGTCTTCCATTAGTATTGTAGTATGTTTCCTATATACATTTGTTAATTGATTTGCAAAAAGTTCATTTATTTCTTCTGCTTGGTTGGATGGCTTGTAATATAAGCCTATAGCAATGTCATTCTTTTTTCCTGTTATATTGACCAATATGCATTCTAGGAGGCTTTCATCCTTGGTTTTGTAAATTTCTCTTTTTTATTTTATTTTTTATTTTATTTTATTATATAAAATACAAAGAAGAGAAGAAAAAATAGGAAATTAAGGAAGGGAAAGGGAGCAGCTGCTCTTAAGGTTTCCGGCACTCTCCCCATGCGCATGCACGCTCCCGTTTCGGCACTCGGTGCCGAAAAGGTTCGCCAACACTAGTATAGGTATTTGAATCCTTTAGGGGTCTTGGATATGTTTCTTGTATCTCCTACTTTATAACTTGGTTTTCCATTCTTCCTATTGCTCTCTACCTCATTCTTTTTTTCTTTCTCTTTACTTAATATATCCTTATATGATCGGTTATCTAGTGGTTTCTGCTTGGAATTAGGTTCTCAAGGTCATGAAGATTGCCCCCCCCCCTTCAATTTAATTTAAAGCCATTTTGATAAGATGAGCCAGACATTTTCTGAATGTATTCTTTCCAGTACTTGTGAGGTGCAATCCATCCCTTGCCAAGAGCCCTTCATGTAGGTACTCTAGGAAACCAAAGTTCTCTTGACAACACCATTTTTAAGTATAGATGAAAATCCACTTGCACTCCTAATTCTTTAACTTTCTTCCCTAGCTATTTGTAATCTCTTATTATTGTTTTCAGATTCATTGTTGTATCATTGGTCTCCACAAGAGAAGCTATATAAGAACTCTGTTTCGATGAGCACAAAAAAACTGCAACAATCAGTAGAACGGTAGAAAAAGGATACAGATCATTAGCATTTTCCAACAAAACAGATATCCATGCAACTTCATCAAAAAGTGTTTGAGCACTCAAACTCAACCCAATGTAGCATAATTAACACAAGGTATATAAAAATAACATTGCCATACATCAGAAATATTTCAGAAACCACCAACAGACTATTAAAATTACATGGAATCAGCATAGCATACAAGCCAACTAAATCTCTCCAAAACGTCCTAAGAAAACAAAAAGACCCAGCAGCCCCAGAAGAAAAAAAATAGGCATTTATCTACAATGTAAAGATTGCAACAGCCACTATGTAGGACAGGCAGATTAGCTGAACATATCCATGAATACCGACTAGCAATCAGAAGACATGATGAAAATTCTTTAATTTAATTTCAAATGGGAAATTATGACCATCCTAAACCAAGCCAAGTCCAAAAACAGTAGAGAATTCCTGAAACCTGGCACTCTTGAGAAATTGGCTATCAATAGACACATTGACATAAACAACATCTACATATATACCAGTACTGTGCAAGAGATAATCAACAAGTCAAAAGGGAACAAAAAATCCAAAAGATCTCTCCATCAGCAATCAACACCCAGATAAACATAGATTATCACCAAGAGTAACTTCAGACTAACAATCGAGGTAAACAATGCCCCAATGAAGGAACTGCCAAACAAGCTAACAGTAAGCAGCCCAACCAAAGAACCTCCAAAATCACCCCCACCAACACTGACAGGGCAAGCTACTAGAATATAAATTGAGAGCAAACCTCACTGCCTTGAAGCACTGATGACCTTACCTAGTTTGGGTAATGAAAAATCTGCAAGAAAACAACTAAGCTCAAAGTGCCAAGGACCCTTCATTCAAATGTTTTCTTTATGAGAGAAATATAGAAGTTGATAGGCATGTTGCTTTTCATTGAAATAAAACATCAGATTAAAAACTAAACAAAATAAATTTAGCAATCAAATCTAAATAAAATTCAAAAAATAATTAGACCTTACTACTGTTCGTAAATCTTTTTTGGGAAATGTAAGGGAAACAGATACTCAGTGTTTGTATTTACAATGATGTATCCAGATGAAAAACCCTGGACTTTTTTGTCTGACTCACAGACGAACACAATACAGAAGCCTGATGATGGCAGATGAGATTCTGCCTAAACGTTGCTACAACTTTAAAAGCACAACTACAATGACGTGGGAAAATACCCGAACAAAGCTGAATACTATACATGTATGTGTGTGTGTGTGTGTGTGTGTGTGTGTACACATTGCTCAAAAAAATAAATGGAACACAAAAACAAGACATCCTAGATCTGAATTGATGAAATCTTCTTATTAAATACTTTGTTCATTACATAGTTGAATGTGCTGACAACAAAATCACACAAAAATTATCAATGGAAATCAAATTTAGCAACCCATGGAGGTCTGGATTTGGAGTTACGCTCAAAATTAAAGTGGGAAAAAACACTACAGGCTGATCCAACTTTGATGTAATGTCCTTAAAACAAGTCAAAATGAGGCTCAGTAGTGTGTGTGGCCTCCACGTGCCTCTATGACTTCCCTACAACACCTGGGCATGCTCCTGATGAGGTGGCGGATGGTCTCCTGAGGGATCTCCTCCCACACCTGGACTAAAGCATCCCCCAACTCCTGGACAGTCTGTGGTGCAATGTGGCGTTGGTGGATGGAGCGAGACATGATGTCCCAGATGTGCTCAATTGGATTCAGGTCTGGGGAACGGGTGGGCCAGTCCATAGCATCAATGCCTTTGTCTTGTAGGAACTGCTGACACACTCCAGCCACATGAGGTCTAGCATTGTCGTGCATTAGGAGGAACCCAGGGCCAACCGCACCAGCATATGGTCTCACAAGGGCTCTGAGGATCTCATCTCGGTACCTAATGGCAGTCAGGCTACCTCTGGCAAGCACATGGAGGGCTGTGTGACCCTCTAAAGAAATGCCACCCCACACCATTACTGACCCACGGCCAAACGGGTCATGCTGGAGGATGTTACAGGCAGCAGAACATTCTCCACGGCGTCTCCAGACCCTGTCACGTCTGTCACATGTGCTCAGTGTGAACCTGCTTTCATCTGTGAAGAGCACAGGGTGCCAGTGGTGAATTTGCCAATCTTGGTGTTCTCTGGCAAATGCCAAACGTCCCGCACTGTGTTGGGCTGTAAGCACAACCCCTACCTGTGGACGTCAGCCCCCCATACCACCCTCATGGAGTCTGTTTCTGGTCGTTTGAGCAGCCACGTGCACATCTGTGGCCCACTGGAGGTCATTTTGCAGGGCTCTGGCAGTGCTCCTCCTGTCCCTCCTTGCACAAAGGTGGAGGTAGCGGTCCTGATGCTGGGTTGTTGCCCTCCTATGACCTCCTCCACATCTCCTGATGTACTGGCCTGTCTCCCGGTAGCGCCTCCATGCTCTGGACACTATGCTGACAGACACAGCAAACCTTCTTACCACAGCTCGCATTGATGTGCCATCCTGGATGAGCTGTACTACCTGAGCCACTTGTGTGGGTTGTAGACTCCCTCTCATGCTACCACTAGAGTGACAGCACCGCCAGCATTCAAAAGTGACCAAACCATCAGCCAGAAAGCATAGGAACTGAGAAGTGGTCTGTGGTCACCACCTGCAGAACCACTCCTTTATTGGGGGTGTCTTGCTAACTGCCTATGCTTTCCGCCTGTTGTCTATTCCATTTGCACAACAGCATGTGAAATTGATTGTCAATCAGTGTTGCTACCTAAGTGGACAGTTGGATTTCACAGAAGTGTGATTGACTTGGAGTTACATTGTGTTGTTTAAGTGTTCCCTTTATTTTTTTGAGCAACATCAGGGGTATTTATAGACTATATGCTGTAGTTTAATATTCCGTAGGTATGGGTGGAGGAAGAGAACACATTTTTATCATTCATTATTGCATATTTCTATATATTTCTAAAGTATATCTAGGTAATTATAAATCCTAATCTGGATGTCTATCTACATCTCACTTTTTTTCCTAGCAGTTCCTCAATTTCTACAACTTCTCCCTCATCCTGTCTGTTTGCTAGTATTCCAATTTTATTTCCCTTTTTTCTTCTTTTTAAATTCCTTTTGTGACCTACCTTTATTGTACTTTACCCACATTTTAGATGCCCCTTTGAAACTGCATTTTAATGAATCAGTATTATAGGATTACAAACATGATTATTAACATGGAAATTGAATAAATTTTTATATTGCATCAATACAATTTCAATACAACATGTATATAATTTTATATATTTAAAATCAATAGCAGGAATAATTGAACGAGTGGTGCAAATCAACCAATAGTATTTTCAAAAACTTGACAAAAGAATTGACTCTGAATCACCATCTTACCATCACAGCCCAGAAAAGATAACATTTCTGTTGTGTCATTGAAGAGGAATAGTGTACTATCTTAAATTATTTTCATATTACTTCTACAGGACGTACTGCAATAATTTTAGGACAAAATATCTTATTTCAGTGAAAGAAAATTAAATTAAGGTCCAATTTGCTTTTTTTTCTTTTTATAGAATACCTTTATTGTTACTATAGTAATGGTACTCATTTTCAATAGGTAGCCTTGTCCAAAGAATATTGGAAACAAAGAAGGATTATGAAATGTCACAGTTGCAAAAATCTGCTGAAAAGGTAACTTGCAAATAAACTCCAAAAAATTGATTATGCCAATTTTTTTCCTCTTACAATTTATTAGTATCTCCAATCTAATCATCTTTTAACTGATTTTAATATTAAAGCAGTGATTATCATAGAGATATAAACAAAAAAGTATTGTTTCAACAGCATTTATTTTAATACTTTGGTGTATGTCACTCAAAGTGGTATCAAAGTGGTACAAAAATGTGGTAAATGAAAAGGAAGGAAGGGAGGAGGAGGGAAGGGAGGAAGGAAGGATGGGTGGTTTAATGGTTTAACTGTTGTCTGTAATTTTTTTCTAAAGAGAAAATCCATTGACTTGACCTGGCTAGTGTTTGAATCTTATGGAGTTGAATTAAGTTGAATCAAAGATGGAAGTTAGCAGGAAGTTATAGGCACTCTGGCTGACCACATGTGTTTTCAATATTTGGTCAATTGTTTGTTTGTTTTTTAACAAATTTTATTGGGATAAACATTAAAACAGTTGAACACAGTGAGACTTTCCTGGCAGTTATTTTGCCATACATGCTATAACATAAAACCACATATAACAATTGATCTCTTCTTTATTCTACATTACTAAGTTGGTGCTATTTACATATATATTTTCCTATTTACAACATAATTTCCTTGCATGTTCTTTTTACATAGTCATTATATCCACTATATTAATTGTTTTTAGCTTAAGAATCTTCCACCTTCATTCTTATAAAGCGTCACAATTTGTTTTCTGTTTTCTTTGGACTTCCTTTCTTCAAGTCTAACCATTGGTACATTTTGATCCAGACTTCATAATATTCTGTCTCACCCTTATCTTTAATTTCTAATGTTAGCCTCTCCATCTTTGCACAGACCAAATTTTTCTTTATTATTTCACTTTCCTGGGGGATATTCCCATTCTTCCAATTTTGGGCATAGACCAATCTTCAGCAGTTATAACATGCAACATTAAGTATATCATTCTTTTGCTATATTTTCCTTCTATAATTCCCAATATGAACAATTCTGGTCTGAACTCTATTTTTTGGCCAAGCATCTCTTCCAACCGTTTCTTAATCTGCCACCAAAATTATTTTGCTTTGATGCATGACCACCACATATGATAATATGTCTCTAACACTGTGTTACATTCCCAATATTGTGGTGATACGTTTTTGTTCATTTTTGCCAATCTTGTTGGAGGTCAGTGACACCTGTAAAACATTTTGTATAGGTTCTCTTTATAAGAAGTAGCCAAGGTTAGTTTCCTATTCCTTTCCCATAACTTTTGCCATTTATCTAATTCGATATTGTAACCAAAGTTTTTTGCCCATACTACGATTACTTCTTTCACTTGTTCCGCCTCCATTTTATATTCCAATAGGTATTTGTAGGTTATCTTAATTGCTTTTTCATCTGTTCCTAGTAATATTTTATCTAATATCATCAATTCTTTCTGTATGCCCTGCTCGTTTTTGTCTTTCTTGTAGCATGATTGGATTTGTAAGTATGCCCACCATTCCAATTGTACCCTTTCTTCTTTTAGTTCTTGTCTGGATTTTAGTTCCCCATTCTCATTTACTATATCTTTATATGTAATAACTTTCCCCAAGTGGATGAAGTTTGGATGCATTAGATTGGTCAGTTGTAAATGCCTTATAGCTATTGTAAATAATTTTAATATCCATGACACACTTGTGGCAAGATTTTCAAAAATATAGGAGAGTTGGTAATTTTTCTCTTTCCTTATATTCCAGTAATGGTTGATACTGATTAAAGTGACTCAATCAATAGCAATAGCTTTACAGAGTCAGCATATGGGCATGTCTTAGTATGCCCTTGTGACACCTCTGCTTTATAACCTGCACTGGCTCTAGCTTGCTTCTTAGTGTGATACAAGATGCTGGTTACCACCTATAAAGTTCTGTATGGCATAGGCCATAGCCTCCTCTTCTGTATGGCATAGGCCATAGCCTCCTCTTCCTCCCTTAGGTTTCTGGGTATACTTGTCATGAAACTGTTTGACTAACCTATCTGCCTTCACATCCCAGCTCTTGACCAAAGTTGTCAAGATTCCAAGTAATAATCCCATAGCAAGCAAAACTCCGAGGCAGCATATAGAATAGCTGTATTGGAAATATCCTAGTGGCACAGATCTCATGAAAACTGACTCTAAAGGCTCCTGCAGTTTTCACCTAATTAAAAGTAAATGTTTTTTCTCTTTCTCAAAACAGTCATATGGTCCAATCACAGTGTGATCTGGCAACTGGGTAGCATCACTCTGCCTTCCTCCAACCAAGTGTGAGAATGTCCTTGGTTCCCAAGAGAAAGTATTTTGTTTTGGCTACAAAATCCGCTCTATCTCAATCACCCCTCCCTATCCCTCAGCTCCAGTGTGGCAACACTGAAGTAGTAAAAATGGCTTTGGTCAGGTCAGCTTCAGGGTTGACACAAGTAGCTTTGGAGAGCGGATACCCCTTCCATTGCACTAAGTACTGCAACGGGCTCCTATGCAATTGAGAATCTAGGATTTTCTTGATCTCGTAATGTGTCTCCCCTTGTACTACAATTGATTTGGGGATGCCCAATCTACCGGTCTGATCTGGGAGCCTGCCACCGGCTTCAACAAGCTGCTGTGAAAGACCAGGTGCGCTTTCCTTAGCAAGTGGGGGAGTTTAAGCTGTACAGGAACATGGTTGATTACTTTTCCTATAAACTTTGGTCCTAGCTTTTTACAAGGGAGCTTTAACTTTAGGTACTTTTGTTGAGAGGTAAACCTTGCTCCCCACTTGGAATGGCACTGTGGAGTGGCGTGACATTTATCAGTTTGTGCTTTATGGCTCTTTGCTGCTTCTCATAGGGCTTGCTTGATATTTTCCCGTGCCGCGTTCAGTGACTCCATCCATTGAGCTAGTGATATGGATGAGCATGGTTCCTTGGGAAGTTCAGGCATGGGGACAAACTCCATGCCACTGGTAACTAGAAAAGGGGTCAGGTCGATGTTACTGTGTATCACATTATTGTATGCCACCTTAGCAAACGGCAGCAAATCCATCCAGTTTGTTTGCTGATAGTTGACATAGCACTTCAAATACTGCTCTATCATGGTGTTCACGCATGCTGCGGCCCCATTGGTACTCGGATGAAATGCCAAATTAAGTCCCTGCGAGGACCCAATGGACCAATGGGTCTTGGACGTTGTTTTCTTCTACAGGCATGGGTGACATGTTTTCATTGGTCTGCCTCTAAAAAATCATGTACAGGTTTATTTCTTCTGGTAGTTGTTTCTGTATTGTGTTCAGTTTAGATACAGTTTTCTTCTTTTGGTTGGAATTTCTTTGTTTTGTAGGTTGAGCCTCAGAGTGTCTAGAGTTGCTTCTACATCTTTTACTTTTTCTTCAAGTAATTCATTTAATTTTCATTAGGTGCATGTGTAATTTGTGTCTTCTATGAGTATGAGTGCCTACATGGAACATATTTTGCAAATGACAATAACATCAGTTTCTTTTTCTATGACTATGTTTCTTTGCATGACTAATTCATTTAAAAATTAAAACTTTCCGAAGTTTTCAAAATGGACCTGGGGGTATTAGATACTGATTTTTTGCATACAATTGACCATGAAAAAAAAGTCTGGAAAATGAAGGGAGATGAATTGTTGTCTAAGGGAATCATGCTGACTTGAAATGCTTGATTTGCTTTCCAAATAAATGATGTCTAATTGGGCTGTACCTCATAAGGACTGGGAGAATATATTTAAAATGTTTGATTATTGTATTATCCAATGACATAACTTTTGCTAAAGTAAGCATAGCATTTTATTTCTCTGCATTTGATATTATTCACTTAATTTATATTCAATGTCTTCTTGTGAAATGAACACTGTTTCAGTGATGCTTCTAAAACATATTCTTTCAGTCCTGTTACTTTATTTTTCCCATTGATTGATATCTGAACTTTTTAAAAACTATTAGGAGAAGCCACTTGTGTCAGAAGCAGCAAAGAGAAAGGAAAAAGATTTAGTAACTAAAGAAATAGAGAAATTTCGTGGCGCCATTCAGGCCCTTTGTCGGAGTGCTCTCCCTCTTGGTAAAATAATGGACTATATTCAAGAAGATGTAGATGCCATGAAAAATGAGCTTCAGACATGGCAGAATGAAAATAAAGAACTTGAAGAGACCCTGCGGAAGGAACAAGGGTAAGAATCTTTTAAAAATTTGAACAATTGCAATAATAATAAAAGATTAGATTAATCCAAAGATTCATAGAGTTTTATCTACAAGACAAATCTGAATTGGATCTGTGTCTTTGACTGGATGTGCAAAACTGAGGAAGAGGGCACACTAGAAGAGATTTAACACTTTTGTAGAAAAACATTGAAGGCAAAGTCATAGTAACCTTAAAAACTGCCTGAATTGGTGGGAAAGAATATTCTCTCTCAAGCTACCACATCTATCTATAGCAGTAAGCACAAGCATGTGGGTGCTTCTGTTTCTAGGAAGAAAGCACAGTGCCAGGTTGAAGAAAAGCAAACTGCTTGCCTCACACAATTCAACTTTTCAGCAGGCAAAGATTAATAAATGCAGTAGCGCTCTACTGCCTACCTGCAGTTTGAGCCAGATAGCCTTCTAGTCTTACTTGCAATTTCCACTTAGTTGAAGAGCTACTCTCTACAATATTCCTGTTACTTTATTATTAATGAAAGATGTAGTTGTTTTCTTGCGATAAACTGTTAGTGATTGATTCTGTAACTACTATAGGAGGGGATGATGAAATAAGTACTACATGTACTACATTTAAGTATTGATAACAATCTGTCATCCAACATGCTGTTGAATTAACTTTAATCTATCACTAACTACTAAGAGACAGTTTTCTGTAGTGGATAGAGGCACCAGGCCAGATACCAGGATATTGTTGACTTCAAGTCCTGCCTTAGGCGTGATGCTAACGGAATGACTTTGGGCCAGTCACTCGGTCTCAGCAAATGCTGCTAAGAAAACTAAATGGATTTGTCCAGGCAGATTCCCAAAATTTAGCATGCATATGTGCATATGTCCACATGTGTGCGTGCACCCCCCCAATCATGCAAACTATTTGATACTGTGAACTAACTGAAATGAATTACACATGTGAAGCATGAAGAATACCTGTGTTGTTCTTTATTATATTGTTACTTGTTATGACACAAATGGTATAAGACAAAACATTATTGATGCATCTGTCCATCAGCTTTGTAAGATATCTCCTTCATTTTACAGTCTAATGGAAAATACTTAAGAATACATACTTAAACTCTTGTTTTAGTTCAATCTGGATGACTTTCTTTTCTCCTTTACTTCCCAACTCAAGTAAAATCTCCAGATAACTTTATTACAGTTAGTTCTCGTCTTACAACCATAATTGAGCCTAGAATTTTGGTTGTAAGTTATGGTCATTAAATGAGACACCTATGTTGCTACCTTCTCAAAGATCACAATCATTATAGTTGTTAAACAACTGTACATGGTGCTTGGGGAGTGGGAGAGAAGTCTTGGGAGCCCCAGTGCCCACTGGCATGCAGAAACCAGACATGGACAGAAGCCCTTGGCCAGCTAGGCCCAGCACTGCCTTCCCCCTTCCCACCTACCCATCCTTGTTCCTAGCCAGCCTTAGAAAAGATTGCCTCTCTAGGCTTAAGAAAATTGCCCTTGCTAGCTGTCTAACTCAGCTTTGCATCAGGTGGGTGTTCTTGTGAGCAGCTGCAAGGGAAGGAAAAGGTATGTGGACCTTGGATGTGTTGGGCAAAGAAGACTGGATGGGAGGCCAGGCTTCTTGGGAGTGGCGAGGGGAAGATAGGTGAGCCTAGCCAGCTGAGGCCCTTTGGGAGGGGGAAGGAGGAAGTCTTCCTGGAGTTGGAGGGAGGAAGAAGGATTGCATGCAGCTGGCCTAGCTGGTTGTTCCAGGAGTGGAAGGGGGGGCACGAAACAGGCTTCCTGGGAGTAAGGGGAGGTAGCAGCCCATGCACTGCTGGGGATAGCCAGCAAGGTGTCCTGGTGTGTAGAAGGTTTCCATGTGACAAAGCCTAGTTGTTCAAGGCCTCATGGTCCACAGAGGGGGAGTTGTAGCACTCCTGCAGTCATAAGGATGGATGTACTGCCAAGTGCCTGAATTTTGATCACATGACCACAGGGGCACTGCCACAATTAGAACTTCGGGCAGAAGTTATCAGTCTGTTTCTTCAATGCCATTGTAATTTTAAACTGCTGTGAGCTCATTTTCTTATCATTTATTTGAATCAAATGTAATAATATACAGCAGGGGTGTCAAACTTGTGGTGTCACATTGTCGTCACATGACATATCATAACTTTTTTTCCCCCTTTGCTAAAATGGGGGTGGCCAGCGCATGACACATCCGGCCCGTGGGCCGTGAGTTTGACACCCCTGATATACAGTATCCAGAACAGATTTACATTAGTTTTACAGTGTATAGTTTGTTGTTTTTATCTTTTTCAGAATCACAGATGGTGTTGTGGAACCCTTAAAAATAGAACTTACTGAGTTGGATCAATTAATCAAAGATGAAGAAGACAAGATTTATACTAGGAGAGCTAATGTTTTAAGAAACAATGAAAAAATTCAGAAGATGGTTCATATTATCAACTCAAGAAGATGAATAGTGGAAGGCTGGAACCCATTATATTGTTTGCAAATAAAATTACAATACAATAGCTTATACAATTTCAAGAATTTATTTGGACAATTGTGGTTGGTTTTCTTGGAAAGTACTGGTTGTAGTTTTTAAAAGTGCAAAATATTTACTGTATTTAATCTGTTGTGGTTGCTACTTTAATATCAATACCCCTTATTTGTGTCTTTCTGTAAGACATTATTTTTCTTTATACAGAGTATGGAATTTGAGAGGGTTGCAGTTGTGATTATCTTAGAACTCTTGGGTAAATCCCGTAGGAAAATTTGTATTTGAAATCTTGCAAGTTTGGGAGAAACACTGTATGCCTTTGTGGTATTATAAAGACCAAAAAGTAAGAAGTTGATCCCATAAGAAAATCTGTAATGAAATTCTTACAACTCAAGATAAAAATGCAGTTTACCTTTGTTTATTTAAGACATCTTGTAACATAGAGAAAATAAGATATTGATCTGAACATAATTGGTTACATTTATAATATACATTTGCACCCTACTTCTCTCTCTTTCGCTCTCTCGCTCTCTTTCTCTTATATTCTCAAATTAAGTCATTCTGACAGAATTGGAATATGGAAATTGCATACATTATGCTTGGGATTGTGGATTTTGCTCTTCCTATATAGTTTTGCTGTATTTATTTTATGGGATTCCCAAATAATGGAAAACTTGCTGGCCAACCAAATTATATGGTTTCTAGGACCCTGACTTCATCTAATGCCATCTTAGCTTTGGGGAGGAATGTGTGTGCACAAATCTTTAAAAAAATACAGCACCTCAACCTAGCATGGTTGTTCAGAACTTTTGTTCTGAGAATCATTTTTTTAAGATTCTTATGCTTATGAAGTCTTGTAAGTTTATCATTATCATTTAAAAATAGCACAACTCAAAAGTAAGGATTTCCCTTTCCACATCTCAGTGTCACACTTGAAAGATAACTGAGACTAACCATCTGTCTGTCTGATGAATTGATGAATATAAATATAAACTGAATGTTTTTTTGTTTTTTGAAACTATACCATTTGTTAATGAAATAATTTAAGAAAATTCATTTTTTCATTTGGAAATCTATAATTTCTTTGCTAGTGAAGTTATATTTCTCATGGGTTACACGTCTAGTAAAGTATACTAGATGTAGAGCAGAAAGGCAATTTAACGTGCATATTGAAGGGGAGGGGTTGATTAATAAATATAGAAGACAGTCTTAATGATTTGGGAAAGTATGCTTGTTGCTATATTTAAATTGCTACCATATATTGTACTACATTTTATCCATATGATTCTCTAAATTTTGATTGGAAATGAGTTTTAAATAACTGAAATAATCATTACTGCAAAAGCAGTAAACAGTTTCTTGATTTATACATTTGTTTTTTATTGTAATATTGTCTATTATTTTATGTTATATTAATTAAATTGTCCTTAATTAAGATGCATTCCAAATTTGTTTGAGCATACAACTCAAATATTATCAAAGTATATGTTCACTCTCCTTAAACTATAAATCTGTCGTTTAAACTATAAATTTTAGAAAAGGAATAGTAAAAAAAATTGGATCAAATGTATTACCATAGATGTTTTTATGCTAAAGTTGCCATTCTTTATAAACTACTTATTATTATAATACATTTGAAGCTTGATATAATATCTGAAATTTCCTTTTATATTCTGTGTAGATATCTGTAGGATTACATATCACATTATTACAAGAGTCCAATTTGTTAGTAAAAATGTACAACGTAAAAGATCTGTTTTTTATTATTTTTTCTATAAATTTAATAAATTGTCTATTTTTTGTATGAACATTGTTTGCATTGTTATTTGGGGAGGGGAATGTTTTATATAAATAATTAATATTAAAACATTGCATCTTTGCATCTATTGTCAATCCTTCCATTATTATGCACAAAGTAGTTTTGCTGCCGTCAATATACAGTATATAGCGTCAAAGTTCCAATTTTTTCCGAGGTGTTTTCCATTAAACCCAAAAGAAAATTTTCTGGTTTTATCTTTATAGTCACTTTAAGAATACATACGTATTAGAATATGAATCCTACTCCAATACTTTTTTTTGTTTTAACACATGTCCACCATAAATGATAAAATGTCCTTTCTCTATATTTACATTTCCCACATTCATTTGAAATGCCTTTATACATTCTGGATAACTTGCATGGTGTTAAATACCAGTGATTGAAACATCATTTTATAGAAATTTTCTTCAAAATTCTATTTTAATGTAAATTTTCATCCATGTATTCTCCCATTGTTCAAGCATAACATTATATCAAAATTCCTTGCCCACTGAATCATACAATGCTTTATATGTTCACTTTCCAAATTGCTTTTCTGAAAGGCTTCCTGGGGAGATACCCAAAGAGGTATCTTTGCAGAAAATCTTGTTTATTCCAAACTCTTAGAATGGTATATCTAACAAAATTGTTGTTAAAACCAACATTTCCTTTAATTTTGTCATACTTTAAACAATCGTGCCATCCACCTTAGTTCATGACTTTCTAAGTCAAGTAGCCTCTTATTCTGGAAGTTCACCCACTCTTTTAGCGAGACCACACAACAAGCACTGAAATAGAGTTTCAAATCTGGTGAACCCAAAGCTCCTTTTTCCTTAGCATCTTGCAGTAGTTTGTATCTAATTCTTGGGTTTTCCCCTTGCCATATCAATTTAGAAATATCCACTTGCCATTGTTTAAATGGACTGTCAGTGGCAAGTATTGCTAATGTCTGAAACAGAAAAAGCATCTTTGGTAAGAAGACATTCATCTTATGAGGGTTCTCTGAGCTTGTGGGTTGGTTTCCAAACGTTTCATTATCAGGCTAGGTAACATCTTTAGTGGAGTTTAGGGCATGTCCACGCTCTTGGAGAATCAGGAAAACCACTTGTTTCCAGGATACGCTCTTTGAGCACTTAGTCCAAGGCATTTCGTGTAATTCCTAGGAGGCCCATTATAGCAAATGCTGATTTCCCATTCAGCCAGAAAGCTTCAATTTTGAGACAGACATTGAATTTGAAAATCAGAAACATGTTTGTATTGTCCCTGGCTTTCCTACCCCCAAATCACTACACGTCAGGGTTGGTGTAGAGAGCTTTCCCTTTCCACATGTTTCTCTCTGAATTGAGTTCTACCAACCATTGTGAAATATGTCTTGGGCTAACTACTGAGGGAAAGCTCAGATCTGAAAATGAAGTGGTTTTTCAACATTTCTGACCTTGGGGAACATGAAATCTCGCCAGTGTGCCACCTATAAAACAATTCGTTTATGTTTTCTTTATTGGTAGCTGCCATTGTCAACTTACAGTTTCTTTTCCAGCGTTTTTGCCATTTATCTAATTCTATAGTATATCCAAAAAATGTTGCCCATACTATCATTGTCCCTTTAATCCTGGGGTGTCAAACTCAAAGCCCACGGGCTGGATCTGGCCCATGGGGTGCTTAGATCTGGCCCGCGGGGCTGTCCTGGAAACAGCCAAGGACTTGCCCACGGTGCCTCTGCCAGCAAAAACGGAGCTCGGGAGGGCCACATGCTCTGTTTCTGCTGGCAGAAGGCAGCAGGAGGCCGTCCTAGCTGAAAACAGCTCACGTGGGCCACGCACAGCCTCCCAAGCTCCATTTTCACTGACAGAGGGTTGTTGGAGGCCATTCCAGGCAAAAACAGAGCTTGGGAGCGCATTTTCACTGGCAGAACACTCGGGCTGCCACAGGCGCCACCGACACAAGTGACATTGATCTGGCCACGCCCATCCCATCCCAGCCACCCAAAGTCAAGCGCAACCCTCATGCAGTCCTCAATGAAATCAAGTTTGACATCCCTGCTTTAACCTATTCATCTTCCATTTTTAAGCTTAACAAAAAGTTATATACACTACTCAACAAAATAAAGGAAACACTTAAACAACACAATGTAACTCCAAGTCAATCACACTTCTGTGAAATCCAACTGTCCACTTAGGTAGCAACACTGATTGACAATCAATTTCACATGCTGTTGTGCAAATGGAATAGACAACAGGTGGAAAGCATAAGCAGGTAGCAAGACATCCCCAATAAAGGAGTGGTTCTACAGGTGGTGACCACAGACCACTTCTCAGTTCCTATGCTTTCTGGCTGATGGTTTGGTCACTTTTGAATGCTGGCGGTGCTGTCACTCTAGTGGTAGCATGAGACGGAGTCTACAACCCACACAGGTGGCTCAGGTAGTGCAGCTCATCCAGGATGGCACATCAATGCGAACTGTGGCGTGGTTTGCTGTGTCATTCAGCGTAGTGTCCAGAGCATGGAGGCGCTACCAGGAGACAGGCCAGTACATCAGGAGACGTGGAGAAGGCCGTAAGAGGGCAACAACCCAGCATCAGGACTGCTACCTCCGCCTTTGTGCAAGGTGGGACAGGAGCACTGCCAGAGCCCTGCAAAATGACCTCCAGCAGGCCACAGATGTGCATGTGGTTGCTCAAACGGTTAGAAACAGACTCCATGAGGGTGGTATGAGGGCCCGACATCCACAGGTGGGGGTTGTGCTTACAGCCCAACACAGTGCAGGACGTTTGGCATTTGCCAGAGAACACCAAGATTGGCAAATTCGCCACTGGTGCCCTGTGCTCTTCACAGATGAAAGCAGGTTCACACTGAGCACATGTGACAGACGTGACAGGGTCTGGAGACGCCATGGAGAATTTTCTGCTGCCTGCAACATCCTCCAGCATGACCCATTTGGCAGTGGGTCAGTAATGGTGTGGGTTGGCATTTCTTTAGGGGGCCGCACAGCCCTCCATGTGACTGCCATTAGGTACCGAGATGAGATCCTCAGACCCCTTGTGAGACCATATGCTGGTGCAGTTGGCCCTGGGTTCCTCCTAATGCAAGACAATGCTAGACCTCATGTGGCTGGAGTGTGTCAGCAGTTCCTGCAAGACGAAGGCATTGATGCTATGGACTGGCCTGCCCATTCCCCAGATTCCCAGGTGTGGGAGGAGATCCCTCAGGAGACCATCCGCCACCTCATCAGGAGCATGCCCAGGTGTTGTAGGGAAGTCATAGAGGCACGTGGAGGCCACACACACTACTGAACCTCATTTTGACTTGTTTTAAGGACATTACATCAAAGTTGGATCAGCCTGTAGTGTTTTTTTCCACTTTAATTTTGAGTGTAACTCCAAATCCAGACCTCCATGGGTTGCTAAATTTGATTTCCATTGATAATTTTTGTGTGATTTTGTTGTCAGCACATTCAACTATGTAATGAACAAAGTATTTAATAAGAAAATTTCATTCATTCAGATCTAGGATGTCTTATTTTTGTGTTCCCTTTATTTTTTTGAGCAGTGTAGTTTCTTATTAACTTTTCATCTTCCTCTCACATTATTTGATCAAGTATTGTTTGCTCTTTGTGGAAGCCATATGCCTTAATATATTTCATATCTTGATTGTATTTCCATATATGGCCACCATGATAGGTCCACACCTTGATTTTGCAACTCTTGTTTAGTTTTAAGGTCCCCTTCAGCATTCAAAATATCTTTAATATGTTAATTTTTTTTCCAGATTTACTACATTTGGATGTGTAAATGCTTCCATTGTTGAGAGCCAAACTGGAATTTTCATATAAATTTTTGCTTTCATCTTTTCCCATATTAAGAGTAGAGCATTTCTTACATAATGTCTTTGAAAATATCTATGAGTCTTATTTTTATCATATTATAAAAAAGCATGCCATCCTAATTGGAGATCATGACCATCACAGCAGTAATCTTCTGTGTGTTAGAGTTATCCATTCTCTCATCCATGTTAATACGGAAGCTTGATAATAAAGCTCCTAATCTGGTAGTCCAAAGCCCCCATTTCTAGATTCTTGCAACATTTTCAGTTTTTAAAACATTTTTGCTTTTTTCCCTTGCCAAAGAAATTTCAGAATTTTTGTGTTTAGCTCATAACAAAAAAAAATAATCCTATTTTTATGGGGATCGTTTGGAATAAAAAAAAAGCGGCCTCGCTAAAATATTCATTTTTATAATTGCAATTCTTCCTACCATTGATAATTGCAAAATTTCCCATTTCTCCAAATCTGCTTTAATTTATTGTAGTAGCCTTATATAGCTCTTTAATTGTTAAGTCTTTTACATCTTACTGTTAAATATATTCCCAAATATTTTATTTTCTTATCTATGAATCTAATTTTTTGTCAATTTAACCTTTCTGTTTTTCTGTAAGACTTTTAACTAATATTTTAGTTTTATCTTTATTTATGTTTAGTTCTGCAACTTCTCCATATTCTTCTATTTTTTCCCATTAACTTGGGGCCAGTTTCCAGTGGTTCTTCTATAGTAAATACTAAATCATCTGCAAATGCTTGTAATTTATATTTTTCCATTTTTATTTCCATACATTTTATTACTAAATCTTGTCTAATATTTCTGTTTAGCACTTCTAATGTTAATATAAATAGTAATGGGGAGAGTGGACATCCCTGTCTTGTGCCTTTTTTAATATTAAAATTCTCCGTATAATACCCATTGACTATTACTTTTGTTAACTGCTTACGAAGAATCAGAATGTAAGAGCAGAGAGGTTGATCAGAAAATTCCATGAGAAAAATCCCCCAAAGTCAAAAGAACAGTGGGGTGATATCAGAGGTGGCTAGTGGAAAATTAACCTATTTGCACTTGATATTTTCCAGATACTTCTCACTCACTAGTGGTAGAGTTGATGGTCAACTTCAAACTGAACCTGGCTACAGCCATTTCCTGTTCCTCAGTTGCCACACAGAGGGGAAGGGAGGGAAGGAGAT